ACAATACCAGATACACCAGATGTGCTGTAGTCTCCTTAACTAAAATGCATTGGGTGATCTTCAGGCAGAGTATAAACAAGGAGTTTTATTATAATTAATAACCATTTCCAGCCACCCCTCACAACAACTAGATAAACATGTGTCTCAGTTGTGCTAGCAAGGTCAAATTTCTTGCTATCCTACTTTATTAATATTGATAATGAAACCAACTGGCTGCCCAAGACCTTGTGCAAAGAAAAGAAATTACACGATATAAATAAAACCAATCTGATAGTTTTAAAGAGCTCAAATGTGAAACTGCTACTCTAACAAAAATATCTGGCATGACGCTGTGTTGACTTCTGTATGTGAAAATTAAAAGAGTGCTGCATCTAATTTTTAAAGTGGGCTCCAGGTAGTATCTTAAAAGATTAACTAATATTATGGAAAACCAGTGGAAGCCTTTATTCAAGATACAATTTTCAAATACACAAGGGGGCAAGCCCCGTGAAAAGGAATAATAATTGTTTCTTCAAAAAAAAACAAAAAAACACCCTCCTGATTCATTAATCTTTTACATCTCTTTGAAAGCATCACTAAGCACCTGGAAACAGATATTATGGAAGACATTGTTTACTTGGTCTTCCAAAAAACTTTTGATAGAGCAAAGTATCTCGAGCACTTTGGCGATAAGAGTTTTTCCTCTTAAAGGACAAAAACAGTGGTTCCCCGAAATACCGTGTTTTAATTGGTGTTCTTTATTTGTTCATAAGTGATCTAGAAATAGGGATAAACAGCGAAGTTTATGCATTTATTGACAAACTATACATAAGAAAAAGGGACTGTAAATTCAATTTGAAGTACTGGCACAATCAAAAGTTCTGTTTATGACCTACATGTCCCTATGACAGTTCAATTCCAGGATATCTCCCTATATGAGCCTGCCCGCTTATTGAGACCTTCTGGGGAAGCCCTATTCTCTGTTCCATGACAACCTATCCTAACTATGGCCTTCATGGCTGTGATTTTTTCCTCATTGTGTGGCCATTTTGCCTGCCAAGATCTACCCCTTTCTATCTATACTACCCTCTTATTGTTGCATCTGAGTGTTGCATACATACATACCTATAGCAGATAATCCTTTCTATCAGCACAGTGTCATTTTTAAAAAATTTGAAGACCTTGTCCCAAAACTGGATGGATTTTGTAATTGAAACTGATTTGAAACTGAGTAATGATGGATATGTGAGCCAAGTTTGGTCCAGAGCCATTAAGCCATGTAGCAGCTTTTTTGAGATACAAACCAACCAACCGAAAAGCATACTGACTTTTATATATAAAAAATACGTTAAAATTAATTTGCACCATTAAGCCTAGAACTCTGGGCTGAAACCAGAGACACAATACACAAACAACTAGATATAAAAAGACAAAACTACATAAAAAGATGAAAGGGTGTCAGATTCATTCGAGGAAGAAACATGATGATAAACCCCCTATTGTAGAAAGTGAGGTGGAAACAGCACTTAACACACAGGAGTAAGAAATTACAGATGGGATATCAATAGAACTGCTTTAATTCACAGAGACATAATCTACACTAGTTGGAACTACAATCTGTCAACAAATATGGAAAACAAAGCAAGGGTCCACTCCATATACATTCTAATCCCCAAGAAAGGAGACACCAGGGATTGCATTAACCATAGCAGCACTGCATTAATTTTCCATGCAAACGAAGTGGTGCTTAAAATTCTACAACAAATGCTTTTACCATATATATGGACTAAGAAATGTCAGATGTCCAAGCTGAGTTCACAAAGGAAGAGGAACTAGGGATCATATTGGAAACATACGTTGGATAACTAAGTGAGCCAAAGAATTTCAAAGGAAAATCAGCCAGTGCTACAGAATATAGCAAATTCTGTAATTATATAGATCATGTAAAAACACAGATCTATACAATTAAAGCCACAGCATTTAATTTGTCTTTATGCACAACCTGCACTTAGGACAAGAAGCCACTGTTAGGACAGAATACAGAGAAACAAGATGGCAAGGGGGGCAGGCAAACTTCATTTTAAACTGTTTAACTTGTATGCCAAACATATCATACATAAAGCAAAATTAGACTCATAGGAAGGAGGTGTGAAAATTGCAGGAAGGAACATCAACAATTTAAGATATGTTGATGAAACCATAGTACTAAAAGAGAAAATAGCAAGGACCTGGAGCAATTACTGATGAAAGTCCAGAAAGAAAGAGCAAAGACTTGTTTATAACTGACCATTAGGAAAACAAAAACAATGACCACAGATGACTGACATAAGTTTAAAAGGGATGATGATGAAGACATTGAAATAGTTTTCCATACCTTGTTCTTAATCATTATTCAGAATAGACACAGAATAGAAATTAAAAGAAGAAGAAGATTGGGGTCTGGAAAGGCAACTGTGAAGGAACTAGACAAGACCCTGAAATCTAAAGATATATAATTGCACAATAAAATTAGGACTGACCATGGCAATGTATTTCCCATGTCCATGTATGGTTGGAAAAGCTGGACAGTGAAGAAAGCTGATAGGAAAAAAAATCAATTCATTTGAAATGTGGTTCTGGAGAAAAACAAATATTGTGGATTGCAAAAACAAACAAAAAAGACAAATAAATGGAATCATAGAATCACATACTTGGAAGAGACTACAAGGGCCATTCAGGCCAACCCTATGACATGCAGGAACACACAATCAAAGTACTCCTGATTCATGGCAGTCCAGGTTTCTTTTACCACCAGAGGAGATTCTACCACACCCCAAAGCTGTATATTTCACTATTGAACAGCTCTTACTGTCAGAAAGTTCTTCCTAACATTGATGTGGAATCTCTTTTCCTGCAGTTTGAATCCACTGCTCTGTGTCCTAGCATCCAGAGAGCAGAAAACAAGCTTGCTCCCAATTCAATATGACATCCTCTCAAATATTTAGTGAGCATGTCCTCTCAGAACTTGTTTTCCAAATTAAACATACCCAGCTCCCTAAGCCGTTCCTCATAGGGCTTGACTTCCAGACCTTTTACCATTTTGATCGCCCTTCTCTGGACATGTTCTAGCTTGTTAATGCCCTTCTTGAACTGTGTCCTGAGGCAAATGAAGCTTGACTTCTCCCTAGAAGCTAAGATGACTGAACAAAGATTTGTCCTTTATACCTATCATAATAAGAGATAACTGACTAAACAACCCATGAATGCTTGGTAAGGTATAAGGCAATAGAAAAACAACTGTTATTTTGGTGCAGTGGTCAGATTTGCATCACATCTCTCTCTCTCTCTCTCTCTCTCTCTCTCTCTCTATATATATATATATATATGTGTGTGTGTGTGTGTGTGTGTGTGTGTGTGTATGTGTGTGTATGTGTGTGTGTATATATATATATATATATATATATATATATATATATATATATATATATATATATAAATGCTCAGTGCATAATGAGTACCTTAAAAACAAAAGAACCAATGAACGAAATCACATCAAATTTGGCAACAAAACATCTCATAACATAAGGAGTGACCATCACTCAAAAATTATGATTTTGACATTTGGGAGTTGTAGTTGCTGGGATTTACGGTTCACACACAATCAAAGAGCATTCTGAACTCCATCAACAATAGAACTGAACCAAACTTGGCACACAGAACTCCCATGACCAACAGAAAATACTGGAAGGGTTTGGTGGGCATTGACCTTGAGTTTGGGAGTTGTAGTTCACCTACATCCAGAGAGCACTGTGGACTCAAACAATGATGGATCTGGACCAAGCTTGGCATGAATACTCAATATGCCCAAATGTGAACACTGGTGGGGTTTGGAGAAAACAGACTTGACATTTGGGAGTTGTAGTCACTGGGATTCACCTACAATCAAACAGCATTCTGAACCCCATGAATGACAGAATCGGGGCAAACTTCCCACATACAACCCCCATGACCAACAGAAAATGCTTAAGACCATCCAATCCAACTCCCTTCATCAGGTCAAGAAAAGGTAATCAAAGTCCTCCTGACAAAGAGCCATTCAGCCGTAGATAGATAGATAGATAGATAGATAGATAGATGGATGGATGGATGGATGGATGGATGGATGGATGGATGGATAGATAGATAGATAGATAGATAGATAGATAGATAGATAGATAGATAGATAGATAGAGATATGATTCACACAGAGAGAGATATAGTATCCTAGATTTGAAAGGGACCCCTAAAGAAGGAGAATGATATGTTCCATGTTCCAGAGTAGGCAAACCAGACACTCTCCACATCAACACTGACAAAGAAACAGCAAGAAATACTGTTTACCCACAAGCATAAAGAAATTACATATATTAGCAACCAACACTTTCTCATTACTTTATTTTCCAGATCAACAGACTGGGCCACAGCAACGCGTGGCAGGGGACAGCTAGTTAATATATACATGTATTACAATCTATATAAAATATATTGTAATACATTTATATATTAAATATATACACACAGATGTACATACTGTAATAAGTATTTGTTAGATAGTTGGTGTTGGTGATAGAAATACTTTTGAATTATTACCAAAGAAATAATGGCTGCTGTTCTATAAAAACATGCATCCACACTTATTCAAGTCTAATGTGTCATTGAATGTAATATGCACCCTAATTTTGGTGATGTAATTTATTCAAATAAGCTGCATATTAGACTCAAGTAAATACGGTATATGTAAACATGTTTTCATTAAGAATAATGCCATTGTTCCCAATTGTGTTTTTATATTTTGTAAATTTGAGTATCTCCTATCAATTTCCATTGTTATTTCCATTGCAATTAAATTTATTGGGAGACATGCAGTTCCCCAGATTTTGGCTTGTCCATTCCTATTCTACACAGCTAGCTTTATCTGTGATAGTTTTCTTCACTAATGTTTCGATGAAATTCTCGAAAGTAGCTTACGCAATGTATACCGTACATTTCCAAATGTTACTTACCATTTTTGATAGTCTTTTTGAAGGCTGTAAGCAAAGATGGCATCCAGAATATGTTTCCCTTCCATTGCGTAGGTATACTTGCTTATTACTGTTCGATTTACCATGAATTCAGGAGAGTGCGTCTTTTCACTTTAAAAAACAGTAAGAGAGAATCAGAAGAAAGATGGAAAGATGGCTTCAATATTACTAAACCATTGAAAAGTGTTGTAATTCTGTTGCCCCTCTTTTAGTATTTAACAAGCTGCCTTGAGTCCCCTCTCGGGCCGAGAAAGACGGGGTAGAAATTAAGTAAGTAAGTAAGTAAATAAATAAATGTTGATTAACACTCAGTCTAGCAAGATAGGTTGATTTTTAATGAGGCAAACTAGTTATTCTGTCTTTTCAAATTTCTGCAAGCAGATATTTGATGTCAAATGCAGTTTTATTCATTTCCACAAGACTTCAGTATAGCATTTCTAATGTCAGAAGAACATGCAAATCTCACAAATAAAATACTTTATCTAGATTTTACTAAAATATTCACCATTATTAACACCATTCTCACCTGATGGTATTAACATTATTAAAAACTATTTAATTATGTGGAGCATAATTCAATATGTGAGCATAATCCATTCATGCAATAAAAAGGTTCTGCTCTTCCTATCCTCTACCACGTACCACATTCAAATCTACTCTAGAGGGGTTCCCAACCATTTGGAATAAAAAATTATCTGCTGGTAGATGGACACACTTGGGTATACTGGTCTGTACGCTATTTTTTTCTTTCTAATTTAAAACTTGTGTTCGATATCTAGTTATCCTAGTTACTCAAATCTGACGCTCACCTTCGTTGGTTAAATTACTTTGTCAAAATTCGGGTGCACATTAGATTCCCACAATACAGTAATCTTAGTGGCAAGTCAAAGCAAACAGGGAAGGTGCTTCAGGAGCTGCACCTGAAGCTCCTCTTTAATGGATGTAATTGCCATGGCTAAACACTATGTAATTCTGGGATTTATAGTTTGGCAAGACATCAGCATTCTGGGCAGAGAAGGCTCAAGACCGTGTACATTTTACAGCATTGAGCCAGGGCATTTAAAGTGTATTCAATCTACAACATAGATGCATCCCATGTTTTTCTTTTCCATTGCTGGGAGCTTTCATTTTTAAAGATGGAATTCTAAGCAGGCAGCAAGTGTAACACACATCTTTTGTGGTCAAATTTAAAAGAGTACATTTTTTGCTGCTGTGTATTACATTTAGCAGCAGATACTGTTTTTGGTTTCAACATTTTGAGAACTGAAGTGTGCATTAGAGTCGATGTTGCATTAGATTCAAGTAAATATGGTATATCTGGAGGATTTTTTATTTATTTTTTTTTGTCGTGTCAGGAGCGACTTTGGCTTCTGGTGTGAGAGAATTGGCCGTCTGCAAGGACGTTGCCCAGGGGATGCCCGAATGATTTGATGTTTTTATCATCCTTGTGGGAGGCTTCTCTCATGTCCCCGTATGAGGAGCTGGAGTTGGTAGAGGGAGCTCATCCGCCTCTCCCCGGATTCGAACCTGCGACCTGTCGGTCTTCAGTCCTGCCGGCACAGAGGTTTAACCCACTGCGCCACCGGGAGCTCCATCTGGAGGATGAATGTTCACTGTTCCTTCCATCTATGAATTTATTTATTTATTATTTATTTAAAACATTTATATTCCGCCCTTCTCACCCCGAAGGGGACTCAGGGCGGAGCACAGCATATACACGGCAAACATTCAATGCTGGGACACAAATTCACATACATATACATAAACATTAAAAAAAATCAAAATATTAAAATACACAATTTAAAACCGTCCTAGTCTTTTGAAAAGAACAAAGAAATTGTTTTGGAGAAGTATAGTCTCCTTCCCCAAGGGCCCAGCCACTCTGCATACTTTGCTATGCAAAGTATGGTCCCTTCTACACTGCCATATAAAATCCAGATTATCTACTGTCAACTGGATTATATGGCAGTGTAGACTCATATAATCCAGTTCAAAGCAGATAATCTGGATTATATGGCAGTGTAGTAGGGATCTAAATCAAAAACCTTTCTTCATTGTATTATCCCTATGGCAAAAACAAAAAGTTTCACATTCTTTTGTTTAGTATGGTTGCTGTAATAATATAAATAGTTGAGACTTCCCCACCTTTGCTTTAATGAATTGAGTATAGTTTTAGGACCCTGGTTCTTTTAGTGCTGAAAATTGTCACGTCATTGCCAAAACATATGCTTTAATGGTGATAAATGACACAACGCATGCCATACAACAAAGAAAACTCTATCCCTTTAACTTATGGTAGCCAGTGCCCCCTCATAGACAAATGGTAGAATTGGACCCTTGCAATCTTAAAATCCTCATTTCGGAATATATGTGTTACTTTTAGGCTTGGGATTCTCTCTCAGGTCTAGGCCATTGATAGTCTGGGCAGAACCTGGAAATCAATTCTACCATTGGTTTTGAGGGGATGTGTGCATCTGTCAGCGAAAGGATGCCCCTCAGCTGTATATCATCTCCTGTTATCATTTACTATCAATAAAAATTATACTATAGAAGCAACTGTGTCAGTATTCGGCAACAAAAGGATCTTTAGAGAAGCCTGGCACTACACCCTGTTCTAAATTGAGAGGCTGTCTTCTACCCACAACGGATCCTGGATTGTCTTTTACACATTTCTTTTACTGTATTTTGGGTTTCTATCTTTTTTCTTCTTTAAATAATTTCTCTAGTTCTTTGTGCAATTTTTCCATTAACACCAAAATGAAAGAAACACTCTTTTCTAAATATGGATATTAATTCTCCCATTAATATTTCCTAGATAAGAACCTACTCTGAAGAACATAATAAAGGTGGAGGACAATACAGAGGTGGCAATTCTCCAGGCTTTCCAGTTATTGTATTTTCCTGATTATATAGTACCACTCAATTATAGCATGCAACGTTCACAAATTGTATTAAAAAAGCCAAAACAGGCATATATGTGTGTATGTCCCTGTGGTCTCAATATTATACACGAATCCCATTCTGGAAGAAATACACATTCAATAATAAATAAATAAATAAATGTATATAATGAGAGCAAACCACTATTACGCAGCCCAACCAATAATAATAATAATCTCAGCATCTTGGTTATTTGGGGCATTGATTCAGAAAACTGCACTGAATCAGCTCTAGTTTCTTAGGTATTTATGTATTTGCTTTTTTTTTAACCCGCCCTCTCTCAGGGAACTTAGAGTAACTTCCAAAGTGGAAACAATTCAATGCCATATGAACACAATAAACACAATAACAATAAGCATATACCATAAAAACCATAAAAGTTAAAAATCATAACATCAACACATTAAAAAATCAATTATTAAAATCACAAAGATCCAAAGTCAAAGTCCAGGAGCCATTACAATCGTGTTGCACTTATTTCATATCCACTTATTGCACTGAATTACTCTCCGAAGGCTTGAACCCACAGTCAAGTTTATAATTTCTTTCTAAATTTCAGGACGGAGAGAACTGATCTGATTTCACTGGGGAGAGAGTTCCACAGCTGAAGGGCCACCACTGAGAAGGCCCTGTCTCTTGTCCCCACCAACTGCACCTGCGAAGGTGGTGGAACTGAGAGCAGGGCCTCCCCAGAAGATCTTAACTTCCGAGGTGGTTCATAGAGGGAGATACGTTTGGACAGGTATGCTGGGCCAGAATCATTTAGGCCTTTAGGGCTTTATAGGCTAAAGCCAGCACTTTGAATTGTGCTCGGTAGCAGACTGGCAGCCAGTGGAGGTGGCATAACAGGGAAGTTGTGTGCTCCGGTGAGAAATCTGGCTGCTGCCCTTTGGACTACTTGAAGCTTCTGAACAGTCTTCAAAAGCAGCCTAACATAGCGTGTGTCGCAGTAGTCTATTCGAGATGTAACAAGACCATGGACCACTGTGGCCAAGTATGGCTTCTAAAGATACGGGTGCAACTGGCGTACAAGTTTTAAAAAGCTCCCCTGGCCATCACTGAGACCTGGGTTTTCAGGCTCAGCCATGAATCCAGGAGAACTCCCATCTGTTAACCTGTGTCTTCAGAGGGAGTGTAACGCCATCCAGCACATGGAAAATCATGAGATGGTTATCATGATTTTCCATGAGCAAGCAGATGGTGACTGGGAAATGGTATGCTCTATATCTCAAAACCTAGAGCTGATAGGGGAAAACTGGCGCCATTTTTGGAATCATCAGGTCAAATATATCAAGAAACAGGGCTAATATTTGAGCCCCAAAAATGTTTGTTGGCCAGTGATTGAACCAAGTAAATACTTAAGTTTAGAAACCATTATTATAGATAGGATAAGTCTGTGAGTATTATACAGGTAATTATTATAATTATACATTTAATAAAAATACCATTTGCGATACGCGATAAAAAATGACTCATTCCACCCCTATCAAAAAAATCCATATCTACAAAGTAAATTAGGTTTTACTTCTCAGAAACCCCATTTAAAAACACTAACAGTATTCTAAAATCAAAATGTTTCACAAATGCAATCAAAAGATAAATATATTTTACATTCTGATGATATGGTATACACCAACAGAGTGGTGTAATAATGTGCCCTTGCAATATCAGTCACACCCTTAAGGCAGACATTTTATTTTCATATATTAAATTGGTTGTTTTAAGATTAACACACACCCTAATCTCAAGAGAGCTAAAGTAAATAATTACCTGATTAATTCCACTCCTTTAAGCACCCATCCCAAAGGGGAAAACAAATGGAAACTCAAAACTCAAAAAACTCCAAAACCATCACAAAATGTACTGCTAATCCTAAATAAATAACGATTATACTTAAACCAATCCTACTGTATATCAAAGGAAAATATTTCAAACATTAAATTTGCAACTAAATTTTCATTCTTATTCTGTTTGAAGGTCTCCGAGTATATTAACACAGATTAACCAAAAGGGTGTTTTACAGCCTAGTCAATGAAGACAGACAAACTTCTTGGGAGAAAGAAAATGTATTTATAGTTCCATATGACTTTGAGCGCTATATTGTGAAAAGGGCAGGTTACAAAATAACTAAATAAATATACCAATTTCTGGCACCCAAGCTGTTGTTATAC